GTTCCAAATAGTTCGGAACAGTTCTAAATGATCCCGAATAGTTCTAAAGGGTCCCGAATAGTTCCAAATGGTTCGGAACAGTTCTAAATGGTCCCGAATAGTTCTAAAGGGTCCCGAATAGTTCCAAATGGTTCGGAACAGTTCTAAACGGTCCCGAATAGTTCTAAAGGGTCCCGAATGGTTCCAAATGGTTCGGAACAGTTCTAAATGGTCCCGAATAGTTCTAAAGGGTCCCGAATGGTTCCAAATGGTTCGGAACAGTTCTAAATGGTCCCGAATAGTTCTAAAGGGTCCCGAATGGTTCCAAATGGTTCGGAACAGTTCTAAATGGTCCCGAATAGTTCTAAAGGGTCCCGAATAGTTCCAAATGGTTCGGAACAGTTCTGAACGGTCCCGAATAGTTCTAAAGGGTCCCGAATAGTTCCAAATGGTTCGGAACAGTTCTAAATGGTCCCGAATAGTTCTAAAGGGTCCCGAATAGTTCCAAATGGTTCGGAACAGTTCTGAACGGTCCCGAATAGTTCTAAAGGGTCCCGAATAGTTCTAAAGGGTCCCGAATAGTTCCAAATGGTTCGGAACAGTTCTAAACGGTCCCGAATAGTTCTAAAGGGTCCCGAATAGTTCTAAAGGGTCCCGAATAGTTCCAAATGGTTCGGAACAGTTCTAAATGGTCCCGAATAGTTCTAAAGGGTCCCGAATGGTTCCAAATGGTTCGGAACAGTTCTAAACGGTCCCGAATAGTTCTAAAGGGTCCCGAATAGTTCCAAATGGTTCGGAACAGTTCTAAATGGTCCCGAATAGTTCTAAAGGGTCCCGAATGGTTCCAAATGGTTCGGAACAGTTCTAAATGGTCCCGAATAGTTCTAAAGGGTCCCGAATAGTTCCAAATGGTTCGGAACAGTTCTGAACGGTCCCGAATAGTTCTAAAGGGTCCCGAATAGTTCCAAATGGTTCGGAACAGTTCTAAATGGTCCCGAATAGTTCTAAAGGGTCCCGAATAGTTCCAAATGGTTCGGAACAGTTCTAAATGGTCCCGAATAGTTCTAAAGGGTCCCGAATAGTTCCAAATGGTTCGGAACAGTTCTGAACGGTCCCGAATAGTTCTAAAGGGTCCCGAATAGTTCTAAAGGGTCCCGAATAGTTCTAAAGGGTCCCGAATAGTTCCAAATGGTTCGGAACAGTTCTAAATGGTCCCGAATAGTTCTAAAGGGTCCCGAATGGTTCCAAATGGTTCGGAACAGTTCTAAACGGTCCCGAATAGTTCTAAAGGGTCCCGAATAGTTCCAAATGGTTCGGAACAGTTCTAAATGGTCCCGAATAGTTCTAAAGGGTCCCGAATGGTTCCAAATGGTTCGGAACAGTTCTAAATGGTCCCGAATAGTTCTAAAGGGTCCCGAATAGTTCTAAAGGGTCCCGAATAGTTCCAAATGGTTCGGAACAGTTCTAAACGGTCCCGAACAGTTCTAAAGGGTCCCGAATAGTTCCAAATTGTTCGGAACAGTTCTAAACGGTCCCGAATAGTTCTAAAGAAGTAATTATAGTTCTAAAGTTCTAATAGAACTGTTCCAAACCGTTCCGAACTGGTTCTGACTGTTCCGAACCGTTCCGAACCGTTCCTGACTGTTCCGAACCGCTCAGAACTGGTCCTGACTGTTCCGAACCGTTCAGAACTGGTCCTGACTGTTTTGAACCGTTCCGAACCGTTCCTGACTGTTCCGAACCGTTCCGAACCGTTCCTGACTGTTCCTGACTGTTCCGAACTGTTCCGAACCGTTCCTGACTGTTCCGAACCGCTCAGAACTGGTCCTGACTGTTCCGAACCGTTCAGAACTGGTCCTGACTGTTTTGAACCGTTCCGAACCGTTCCTGACTGTTCCGAACCGTTCCGAACCGTTCCTCACTGTTCCGAACCGTTCCGAACCGTTCCTTACTGTTCCTGACTGTTCCGAACTGTTCTGAACCGTTCCTGACTGTTCCGAACCGTTCCGAACCGTTCCTGACTGTTCCGAACCGTTCCGAACCGTTCCTGACTGTTCCGAACCGTTCCTGACTGTTCCGAACCGTTCCGAACCGTTCCGAACCGTTCCTGACTGTTCCGAACTGTTCCGAACCGTTCCGAACCGTTCCTTACTGTTCCTGACTGTTCCGAACTGTTCTGAACCGTTCCTGACTGTTCCGAACCGTTCCGAACCGTTCCTGACTGTTCCGAACCGTTCCGAACCGTTCCTGACTGTTCCGAACCGTTCCTGACTGTTCCGAACCGTTCCGAACCGTTCCGAACCGTTCCTGACTGTTCCGAACCGTTTCGAACTGTTTCTGACTGTTTCGAATCGTTACGACTCCTTCGGAATCGTTCCGCACCGTTTTAAATGTTTCTAATTTAATTGACAGTATCTATTTAAAATTTAACCCCTTCAATTGTGTATGGAATATATTGAACAAATTTTAGTAGTAAAAAATTAAATTCGATTACCACAATAAATGGGAAATATTAGCAGATAGAAATATTTAACCGTCCTACCGTCCATGTGGTCGGCCATAATGGTTATATATTCCAACAAACAAGCTTCCCTTTCGTTCCGCATTTTACGCATAATGTTAGAAAAAATAATTAGTATGAAAAAATACTGTTAGATATTAATGA